GTGGGGGGGACCACAACCTAGGCGTGGCCAGGAAACAGTAGCTGCGCCTAAGGCGGAATTATTGCCATGGTGAGGTTTGCAGCGTAGACAGATTGGTGGTCTCTTTGATTTGGGATTATTCTACAAAGGGAGACCATGTATGGGGCTGCATATTCATTGCAATACATGGAGCTCATATTCGTCTACGATAAAGAGACAGCCAATCCATTCCTTACTTCCCAAGACCTTCTACTGAGGGGCTGTTTGTTGTCGCAGTATTTGATATCGTATGCATATTAAGCTAGTTCGTATTCCCTGTGGCAGATCTCTAATTTGGGTCGAACCCTACTCTCCCCCAAACTTAGCTGGAGCCCGAACATTCGGGGGCTCACATAGACTACCCTCTTTCAGCAAGGCTGATCTACAGGGTTACATGTTAGTAAGCAGCAGAGCAGCAGGTAATCCTTGGTATGGTGCTCTTCTAAGTTTTGCTTGCCGCTTGCGTCCCCATGTTCCTATACAATGACCCTTGTATGTAGGATGCCCCAAAACACGGCCCAAGGTTTAGAGCAACTTCCATATCTTGACCAGTGTTGACTAAGGCCCATCGCGGTTGTACCGCAGGAGCAGGCCCTCTTCGAGTTTATTTGGGCAATGGGGTTGAATGTTTCAAAGCTGGTGTTGAAGTCTCTGCATTTGAGGCCTTGAGATTTCAGGGAGGCGTTTCACATTACTATGCGCCTCTCACTTCTTGAAGCACAGGTTGCGTGGCAAAAGCACAGTGGAAAAGGTCCTCGGTGCCATATGTGAATTGCGTAATCCGAAAGCTCTTACACCTTCATGCCGCAAACTCCAAAACTCTAGTTAACGTCTCCAGGTTTCACAACACCTTGGCTTCGAAAATTCTGTGGCCCCAAGGTAAGACTCAGACCAACGTGAAATGCTGATAATGAAGACTCAGACAGCCATCTTGTGGGCTCCTTTGCTGGTTCTCGTCAAAACTTGAGTAGTTGGGTCCTTGTTAATAAAAATCTCGTCTCTCTTCTGCGAGAGTATTCTACTTACCCATTCAACTGAAACCTGACGGGAAGACAACCGTATGAATATTATCCCAATAAGGAACCAAAAAACGCACGACAATCCGGATGCTTGCTCCTCTTGTTCAGTCATACACGTTTGATTTCGTATAGGTTCAGCATGATGTGGCCTGAACACCTTGGCGGCAATTCCGCTTCTTGGAATCCTTGAATACCAGTAACGTACCCAGAACCCCTGCAATTCTTTAGACCCCAACATTACCTGGTTTGAAGACTTTTGAACACGCGCCCCCGGCCCGAAGTTGTCAAACCCTGACACCTAAAACTCCCAAATGATTCCAACTCCCCCCAACGCCAGGCTTTCCATCTGAGGCCCCAAGGGTCCTTGAACCCAACCTCCTCCGTGTAACTGCTAGACTGAAGCCCTCTGCCCCACTTGAGTTGTGTTACTGGGGAGCTATATAGCTGCCAATATAGACTATGATTGTATCCTCTTTGTAAGTATCGTATTTTTGGGCTCCACCACCAAAGAAAGCTACTCACTTACCCCTGAGTCAGAATGAAGCTGAACAGCTGGAATCCGCGTTTGCTCTAGAGTACTGTATGTAGACAAGGAATGAGGAACATCAGGGAATGATATCCTGTGATGTTCAGGCTGCCATGTAACATGCTCACCTTCAAACCTAATCCTACGCCCTAAATTCTTGAGTTCAAGCTCTAAGCCCTAACCCCTCCACCACCAACAACAACATGAATTTGTCGTCATACATCCTTCTATAATTTTAGAGGACCCTTAAAAGGGACTTCGAAGACCTAAACCCCGAGAGTTGGTCTCTCATGGTTGCTTGGGGAAGGCTTCCGCGGCTTGGTCCGCGCTGACCACGGCATGAGACCGCAACAAAAAAAGTGCAGGCTTAGGATTTGGGTTTCATATTACGGGTTTAGGGTTTAGTATTAAAGGTTTAGGGTTTAGGAGTAAGGGTTTACGGTTTAATATCAAGGGTTTACGGTTCTTGATGAAGGGTGAAGGGCTTAGGCTTTGGGATCCCAGGATGGGTGCTTGCTGGTTGTTGGTGCCGAGTGAGGGGAGGGAAACTATGGCAATCAGTTCCTTCATTCCAACCAGTAAGTACAGGGACATAGGGTTTGTAGGGGTTCCTCTCAGGGATTACATAGAGGTTTCGGATGAACTGGAAGTTGAGATGATGTCGTGGTTTGGGGAGGGATGGGTTGGGAATTTGGGTTCGGGGTGCAGGGTTGCGCAGTTTAAGTGGGCAATTGTGCCAGGATTCCTTGTTAATGTTGATACTAGACTCCCTGTACGACTGTAGTCTTCTAGAATACCACAGTTCCCAAGGTATAAGGCGTTCTTCGGTACCAACTGCATCTCAATGTCGCCCTCACAGCTAAGACTGCAGCACCTGTAACTTTCACTGTTACTTAGGTTGGGCTCCCATCTAGCATTGTGGTGAATATGAATACAAACCCAAGTCAAAGCTTCTTGCGGTGGTCATGGGGCGTTTCCTGCAATTTTCATTCTGGCTTGCAGTAGACAACGCAGCGGCCCAACTAATTGGAATCGAGACTATAGGATGTTGGTTTACTGATCTGGAATGTAGTGCACTATCTGTTCATATGCGAGTTATAATATCTCTCTCTTGATTGTCCGGTCCTGCGAGGAATGGGTAGACAAAGAAGGCTGTTCCTCGTGGTAACTTACGACGTTGGAGGTTGTGGGGGTTTTCGGTGTGAGGAGCTTTTGAGTCTTGTGAGGTAGATAGGCTAATACGCTTTATGCTCTCTGTATTGTCGCTTGCCACGCCACAGGTTTTAGCGTTTGCGACGGTTCTACCTTCGACCCCCGCCCCGCCAAGGCGGACACCACCCTGAATCCAAAACTTGCAATTTTCCTCGACCCCTAGAGGGATAATGGAAAAGGAAATGGAAACTACTATAGTACGATAGGGTATATACATATATATATATATATATCATAACCCTAGAAATCCACCTGTAGATCCCAACCTCAAGTCTGTGAATGCTGCAGTTTTTGGCCAAAGGGATGGCTGGGGCTGTTTTCTAGGAAGCCATGGCGCTTTCGCAGCTGCGGGCTGCTGCGCTGAGGCAGCCGCCGGGGATCTCAGAGCAAAGTAGGGCTAGTTATGAGGGCTATAGAGGGGTTACGTAGGGATTATATTGGGGCTGTAGGAGGTGTATGATTGAGGGTTACATATGCTAGTTATAGAAAGTTTTTTTGTTTAGGCGCTGGGGGCTTGGGTTTGGGGTTGTAGGGTTTAACGTTTATAGGCATTTATAGGGTTTATAAAGCTTGGAGAGTGGTAGCTCATGCTTTCGTGTAGGCTGGCAGCTGATGTAAAAGACGCGCAGGATTCTTTTTGTGTGGGTTATCGGGTCCTGTGCATGAGAACCACAGGCTTCAGACCTTGAGGTTTTGGAGTTCGGGTTTGGGCCTTGTTGGTGCAGTAGGTTAGAAAGTTTCAATAACTCTGAACGCCAACAGTAGTTGTTTGGTACTCAGCTTCCTGACTCTTTTTCGGATTGCTAGAAGGATCTAAACTTGAGGACGGGGATTCAAGTTTGGGGATTCGGGATTCGGAATTTGGACTGATATCTTATTCTGGCATATCCGCTCAAGCGTCACCACACAGGCCCCCGCTGGCAACCAAAACGGAGTTCGCTGACCACTTAGTAGCTTCAGCAGGGCATTTGGACCTGAATCCCCACTGCGCGCCCATCAACTTGTCCCAAACCCATGGCCCCATTCAGTTCTGAGGATCTAACGCCAAACCCTAAACGACAAACCCCAAGCCCTAAACCATGAGCTCCTAAGCCATTTCAATCGAAACTACTAAACCCCAAACCTTAAACCGTAAGTCCCAACCCCCCAAACCTTAGTCAAACCCAAAAGCAATTAACCTCAACACCTAAACCCCCCAATCCTCAAACCCTAATTGAACCCCAAAACCCGCAACCTCAACACCTAAACCCCAAAGCCCAAACTGTACAGCCACCAGCACAGTAAAGCATCTCCAGGGACGCATGCCCTTGGAGAAAAGGTCCCATAAAAGAGAACCCTAAACCTATAGTCCCCCTTAAGTAGATAGAATATGGCTTTGGGTATATTATAATAAGATCTTAAGTAGATAGAATATGCCTTTGGGTAGATTATAATAATAAGATCCCCATATACCCCATATTCTATCTACTTAAGGGGGACTGTAAACCCTAAACCCTACACCTACCGTAAGGTCGCGGCTATGGGCCTCCCTCGGCCCTGGCTCTCGGCGCTTCCGGGGTTCTTTGTGGTACTGCCGGCCGGGAATTAATGGTTTAGGGATTTTTGGGATTAGGCATTTAGGGTTTAGGGTCTAGGGATTTAGGGTTTAGGGATTTGGGGTTTAGGGATTTAGGGTTCAGGTTTTAGGTTTTCTTGGAGGCCTACAGAAAGGGACAATGGTAAGGGTTGATAAGGCTTATATTTAGGGCTGGGGCCTGAGCAAGCATATTCAACTGGAGAAGTGGAGAAATGGAAGCTGCGTTTGTAAGCACGGCTTATTGAGATGATTTTCAAGATTGCCGTCCTCAATTCTTTATGTATAGAGTGCCTCGACAGGACCTCCACCTGATATTGATTGGTTTGGCTTCCATGTTAGGTTCAGGGGTGTATGCTTGTAAGGGGTTCGTGCATGCAAGGAGGTCTTACAGGCGCAGGGTGTTGTTAGTGTGTTGGCTTTCGCGGTTCAGGGTTAATCAGGCTGTAGGGTTTACAGTGCGTCCTTTGGTTCCGGGTTTTGGGTGCAAAGTGAAACTGTAAAGATTTAGGGCTTTCGGTGGGTACGGTAAACGTTTACGGCTTAGCAAGCTAGGCTCTCGTCGCTCAATGCTTTGCTTTTCAGGGTCGAGTTTTTCTGCACTGAATGATGCCTCAGGGTCCAGCTAAGGCTTAGAGCGAGGTAGGGCTGGATGGTTGCAGCGTTCCAGCCTGCAACTCGAGTGACCAAGGAGCACGTAGTAGGGCGTCATTCCTCACACAGACATCAAATATATGTTGGTTTTGTAAAAAGTAGGGCTCCCCGTATATACCCCCAATATCACAGAATTCTCATTTGTTCTTGGAAGGACCGGTATGCTTGAGAAACCCCGACGCTTACTGCGACCTTGCGGAAGCCACAGAAAAGTTGATCAATGTTCTTTCAAAGAATGCATCTATCCCCCAAACTTGGCAAAAACTATCGATGAGGATCCTAATGCTGAGGACACCCGTTCGGATGTCCCTGGGACCCTGACTCTGAGAAGTCTTCAACTGGATGCCAGGAACGAGTACGAGGAGCGCGGTGGCCCTTCCTACCTTGACATGCAGGCTTCGCCTGAAGAGTACAAGGTTTTGGATTTAGGGACTGTAGTTCGCAGAAAGGGGTCACTGTTGTACCGGCAAAATGCAGAGGGCCATCTAGAAAAGCTGACCCTGAAAAGCACCAACCTCTCAGACACCTCAAGCTCGACAGCAGAGGCAACGACGCCAGTGGATCCGCGAGTGCTGGATGCAATGCCAGACGCTTGGGAATTGCGATTCATGCTCTAGGACGGAAGACGTGCAGTTCCAATTTGGATACTGCCCCCACCCTGTAATCGCCATACCATAATATGATTTGGTTTATAAATTCCGGAATATCCTGTCGGGTGCAGTACCCACGCTCAAATAGTATAGCAGTTTAGATATCGCACATGGTGTACACCTTGTGTTCAAACCAGTCGAGTCCGAGCCCTTTCTGTTTCTATTATTCTTGGGACGAAGGTCCCTTCTACTTGTACATCCATCATGAACGGGCCTCTTGTTTGGGTTGAGCTTAGGGTCTTGCATGTAGGGGCAGCTACACCCTCGAATCATACAACAACTGGCCACCGACTTCACGCAAAGCTACAAAGTATCTTTGCAAAGTTCTCCCCTAAGGCCGACCCCAGAATCTCCTCGTGAATCCCAATCTATTCGCAAGGCTGCCTTACTACCACGGCCGCTTTGGGAACCCGCACAGCCGGAGCCATTCCTACGGTGTGGGTCCCAGGATGTGTGGGCTTGGGGCTGCGGGTCATGGCTTAGGGTTTAGGGTTTGAGGTTTTACGGTTTAGGGCTTGGGGCTCAGGGCTTAAGATGTAGAGTTTGGGGTTTAAAGCTTGGTATCCAAGATCTGTGTTTAGGGAGCCTGTTGCGCAGAGGATGGGGCAAATGAGTGCACGTCAGCATTCAACGTTGTAGTCGGGGAGAAAATCGGGTAATCAGAGACAATGGTAAATGATTCTAGTATACATGATGGAAATGGTGATGGGCGCTGTCGGCCTCCACTATTTTGATCGCACATAAAAATATGTATATACATACACACATATGCATATGTAGATTCATGTATTCCTCAGAGGGTCTAGCCCTTTCCTCGGGGGACCTCTTAAAAGGGACCCGCAACTTGTGGAAACGTCAGATACAGGCTTGCAAGCTTCTGGCCATGAACTCGGAGCAGCAACCCTTGAACTAAATGACCATCCATAAACCTGGAACCCTGAATCACACACCCTTAGCCCCAAAACTCTGAAGCCTTGAACCTCTGAGCCCTTTTTTTATATAGTAGTTTCCATTTTCTTTTCCATTATCCCTATATAACTCCTATAATCCCTGTAGTTATACCTTATTATACTATAGTAGTTTCCATGTTCTTTTCCATTATCCCTATATCCCCCATGTAACCCCAATGAAATCCTATCTGCTTTGCTGGAACTAGGCTGGGATGCTGAAGAAGCCACAGAGAAGGCCAGGAACAATTTTGCCGAAACATGTGACCGGTCAAGGGCTGCAGAATATTGTGGTTAAATTGGGATAATGGAAAAGAAAATGGAAGCTACAGGGATTATAGGGGTTATATAGGGTTTATATAGGGATTATAGGGAATATATTGGGGGTTAAATTGGGAGAATGGAGAATAAAATGGAAACTACTATAGTATATTGGGGCTATATAGGGATAATGGATAAGAAAATGGAAGCTACTATAGTATATTGGGGTTAAACTGGGATAATGGAGAATAAAATGGAAACTACTATGTAGAGTTTAGGGTTTAGGGTTTAGGGTCTGGCGTTTAGGCGTTGGAGTCCATTACGCTGCTATGGGCTCTTTCTGATGTATCTGAGCTGGGGGATTCGCAAAGAGGAGGTGACCTAAAGGACCCTTGGCAGGTGTGGGAATTATGAGAAGATTGCGTGGGTCGCCTTCAGTAAGATTGTAATGCCCTGCGGAATCCTGAATGGGACCTGTGATTTGAGAATCCCCTTAGGGAACGATACTAATGATACTCTGCAGAACTAATAGCAACAGTTGTAAGACTTGCAAGAAGAGTAGTAGCAGGAAAGAATTAAGGTTTGGTACCTACGCATTGCTGGCATCGGTTTGCTCGGCAGAGCTACCCCAGGCCAGCATGCTTTAGCAAGGTGGCGCACCCACCGGAGTATGCACCTTTTCAATGGTGCTTTTTGCAGGGTCCTCTTTGTTTGGGGGGCTTCTGAGAACTGCTGATTATCTGCTTCAGAGTACAACAAAACTGGGCTGCCCAGCATCCGGAGTCTTCTTGTGCAGGGTTGTACCAAGCATGGTCGTGCCTATGATGCGGGACTTTGATGTGAGCTGGTGCAAATTTGGTCATGATGCTACAGTCACCGTGTAAGAAGCCACCGGGCCCGGTAATAGAGTTTCTCAGAAAGGTCTTCATATAGTCCAGAAGGTACCCCTGTAGGCCCTTTCCGGGGCCTGAAGGGCCTTGCAGACACACGGCAAGAAGCATCTCCAACTTTAGTTTGTCAGAGCCATTAGTCCCCAGGTGTATCAAGTGAGAAAAGCGAAAAATGAAATGGAAACTGGGAACTTACTGGGGATGTATATATTTAAAGACAGGGAGCAGTCAGAGAAGGGCATCTGGCCATCTTGGGATTGTAAGATGATGCGAGAGCTAGATCTCTCGAGCAATGCGGTCCAGCGATATAAGAACTATATAACAACTATATCATCCCTAGATAACCCCTATATAATCCCCCTATGTAAGCCCCTTTAAAAGGACCCCTGTAGGAGCTTCAGAGCCCAGAAATCATCTGCCTTCGGCGAGGCACGCGTGCAGATTGCAAATCTCATCAACGCGGATCCCAAGGCCAGCATTGTCCTGGGTCTCGCTGCAATGCGAGCTAAGCCTAGAGAATCTCGAATATGGTCCAGTAGATTGTTCCTGTGAACTCTGTGTATACCACCGTAATTCTCATCCCTGTCCTGATCGTCGCCGAGGTGTTCCAAAGCAGTGAACAGTACACAATCGAGTTCAGTCTTTCTGGTGTAAGGCTAAGGCTCAGGCTTTTTGGTTGTTTTTGTTGCAGATGATGGCCTAGGGTTTCGACGGTATGTATTTCACCCTGAAAAATTGTGCTAAAGCATAGCCCTAAACCCTAATTAAGTTCCTGCTTGAATGCCAGGTGTTGCAGCTGCCTCCCCGCAGCAAGCGCCCGGAAACAAGCCTTCCTACACATACAGGAAATGGGCCACATAGGGTAGCTTTCATAAACGGGGGGAAGGACCTAAGAAAAGACTGGACTACATTACAATCCTTACTATGGGAGCTCCCAAAAATGTACCTCTAATTTCGGGAATCCCCCCTAAAGTTGTGTGACTACAGATGTCGGTCTACGCCAGGAGATCTTTTTCACTTCTGGTGCAACCGAGCCTTGAGCCTGGAGACTGAAGGGTCACGGATACAAGGGTGACTCATGGAATAGATTATATTGGAATGAAAAAAAATAGGGATACTAATAGGGATAATGGAAACGAAAATGGAAACTACTATTTGGGGTTTGGGGCTTAATTAGGGGTTTATATAGGGGCTTCTTACCATGGGAGTAATCTGTAAAGGGGGCTATAAGTTGGATATGTAGGGTTTAGGGTCAGTTTAGGGTGTAGGGTTTGTCACGGTCTTCCTGGAACCTTGCGATTGCCAAAGTTAGGGTCCTCTTTGAAGTGCCCTGGGCGTTGCGGCCCTTTTTACACCATGGACCATGCGAATGACCGCAATGTTGACAACCTTCCATATACAAATATGATAGGGAGTGCAAGTGCATAGGGGCGCGCATTTGCCTGAAGTGCCTGAGCCTTGTTTTGAGAAAGCTCCACACTCCCACTTCGAGTTTTCCAGTCCATCCATGATCAAGTAGCTAAGCTTAGCAGACTGCTAGACTTCACAGACATAACACGGCGCCGACTTGGTGACTAATTAGTGGACAGCTACCTCGCAAATTGAAGTATGGCCTACGCAGATAATGATGAGGGCTTCTGCTTGCAGGCTCAGCGTTTCTACGCAGGGATGGTTTTGCGCTACATGGAGGGGTCACAAGGCATTCACGTTTAGCTTTGTGTGATCTTCTGGCCCTAGAAGCTTTTGACACTAGCCGAAGAACTCTGACCATTGGATGTAGGTTTTTTGGGTGGGACCAAGACTCCTTATTGAGAAGTACCAAGAATTTCGGTAATTTGGTAGCCCAAATGAGTACGAACGGGGATGTATAATTACCCGTATTATGATTCTAGAGTGCGTGTGGAACTATGGTATAGAATACCTTACATAGACCTCAGAATGATGCTGGTGATTATTCAGGCCCCTTATTCACTGCGTTCTGGGGACTGGGTAGACACAAGCCTTTAAAGGACAACACCTGCCCAGGTCCAACAACATGGCAGTGAAAGGCGTGGCCGAGTTCTACGAGGGCTCCGGGAAGAAGCACATCATCACCACACAGACTGAGCACAAGCCCCAATTCGGTTTTGCTTGAATAAGTGAAGGATTTTGGTAGCCCCAACCCTTATCATCAGGGCGCTGTAGGAGTCACATGATATTCATACCAGAATCCCCATTACGAAAGGTCGAGGTTTACACATCCATGGGCTCTACGTGGAAGAACTATAGCTGTAATCTAGCTTGGTGGGCTTGTAGCCCCGCCTACAAGCACACAGGAATCTTCAGGTGTAGTATGTAGGGTTGAGACTTGGGGTGAGCAATGCTGCAAGGGCTGTTGGGATGATTTCGGCCGGGCTATGACTGGGGGAACCTATTCATAAACTCACTTATATATATATATACAGGATCCTTTGAAGTAGTTACCACCCAGATGAGCTTATGGTGGGCTAGTGCTACCGTTCTCAATTGAGAACAAAGCTAGAAAGGAAGGTTTGACATTATTGAGTGCTTCCGCACATCTGCATGGACATTTCCGGAAATATGCTTGATATAAGAGCAGGCATGCGCAAACCCAACGGCATGCACATAGTGGGATTCTCTTGATTTGTCATCAAGGGATCGCTAGGGAGTTTCCGACAAGCAAGGTATCCTAAAATTCGGAGGGGTCTGTCAGGCTCAGAAAGGTCCTGCGTCTTTCTGTGAATTTAGGATTCAACCCTAAACTCGTGCGCCGGCTCTGAGAATCCTGCTCCCGACGCCTGACTCCACCAGCACAGAATGGAGTAGGGGTTTGCTGAGCCTATGCCCCAGAGACCCTGAACTCACACCCTCAAGCCCCAAACCCTAAGCTTAAACCCTCAGCGGCCCGTGCAGGGTTCTAGGCCCCTGCCCAGAAGGGATATAGCAGGACCACGAAGGAGGTTTGTGGGGAGTATTGGCGCGTGGATGCCTAACCCAGCTAGTGGGGAGGTGTTGAAAATGGTTTTGATCCTTGTCCTGGCATACAACCCCACCCGTCAATAAACAGCCAAAATAAGAGGCTTCCAGGGCAGCCCCAGAATCCCTTCAATGCAGGTAAGAAGGTATCCATCAGCAACCGCTGAAGCTTAAGCCCTATATATCTAGGCCCTAGACCTGGAAGCCTGAAGCACAGCTCTTTGAAGAGGCACAAGTGCGTCTTGGCTTCATGTCGACGACTGGAAGTGGACAAGGGCTGGTCCTGCCGGCTGTTTTTTTGGGATTTGGGGGTTTTGATTTCAGGGCATGTGGTTTAGGGTTTGGGGCGGCCTAGGGTTTGGGATCGAGAGAGTTGTGTTTTGGGTTTGGGCTTTAGGTGTTGGGGCTTTAGAGTCTTCTCAACAAACACAAACAGCTGCAGGGTTGTACTGCTCAGGGCATCTTTGATCAGGAATCTTGGGGTTTGCACGCTGAGTTGGGGGGAGGGTAAACTGCAAAGCAGTCCGAGGCGATGTTGGTTTTGGGGAGGGTGTAAGAGAGGGACAGAGCTTTTGTTTATTGTTTTATTTATTTGTGGGAGCTTACCCTAAATTTGAAATATGGATTCATATATAACATTCTCTCTCGCAGCAAAATCCCTCAAGATGAAACCCTTTCCGAGCAACCGTCATGTCCTGCAGGAGCGTGACCTACCTTCCTGTGGACAAGTACGGCCTTGTGAATCTTAAGGCGCTCTGCATCCGGGCATGGAGTGGGCGATAGATGTCTGAATACTCTAAACGGCACTTATGTGCTGGTATAGCTTGCAGAGAGCCCCTAAACCTGAGGAAAGGTCAGCACACGTTTGCAAGATGGCCAAGAAGGGTAGCCTTAAATCCCTAGTCTGCGTGCCAATCGTGTCCCTTTATTCCTAGTCCTTGCAGCTTCAAATTAGCTCACAAGTCCTGCGACCACCATACACCAAACACATCAAAGTCTGAATGTAGTACTGCTCGAAAAGCACGTCTTCGTGAGTGGAGTAAACTCACCTCCCCATCTGCCTGATACCAAACGTTCTAGAATCTGAAGTGTTGTAACAATACTATACTAGGAATCGGTTTTGTTTGTTGTGGGGTGCAAATTGGAGGAGCCCTTGGGAAGGAGCTCAATACACAATCAGATGGGTTCCTCCCAGGCATATCCAGAGATTATATCCTGAGAGGGCCCTTTCCCTAGGTCATGATATGAGGGAAGACCTTGCAGCCCTCCTGAAGCTAATAGAAATGGGCAGATAGAACTTCTACATCCTAAGCCCTAAACCCTGTGACTGGGGGATTCTGCATTTTCTCCGCTTAGCCTTGACTACTTGAGACAGATCCGGCCCTTAAGTAGATAGAATATGGCTTTGGGTATATTAGAATAAGATCCCTATATAACCCATATTCTATCTGCTTAAGGGGGACTACACACCTATAGCTTTGGAATGTCCACGATCCATTTGGGTGCCCCCAGGTCCGCGATAGAGTTTGCGGTTTGGGAGCATCCTCCCAGTTTTGAACTCAAGACTATTAGGGTTACATTGGGATTATGGAAAGTAAAATGGAAACTACTGTAGTATATTGGGGTTACATCAGGATAATGGACAATCAAATGGAAACTTCTGTAGTATATTGAAGGGATAATGGAAAGTAAAGTGGAAACTACTAGTTAGGGTTGAGGGTTTGCAAGATGTTGTGGCGGCTTCTGTGAACATGGCTTCTAACATGTTGCGGAGCGCAAAAACCTAAACCCTAAACCTTTTGCAGAAATTGGACCTCTTGGAAACAAGCCTCCAATCCCTCAGACAAGCTACTCTCCGCCCAATTGTGGGGGTTTGTTGCTGCATCCCCCAAGGTTTTGCAGTACATCGGCGCGCAAGTTGTGATTCTCATACTGGAAAAGAAAATGGAAACTACTATAGTATACTGGGGTTATATTGGGATAATGGAACATAAAATGGAAACTACTATAGTGCATTGGGGCTATATTGGGATAACCCATCGCTCCATTGAAAACGGATCTTGAACTTCTTTTGGTCTTCATCCTTCTCAGGGCCCTTTTTCTTGAGCAAAAGACCTCACGGCGTTCCTCAAAACAGGAGTTCCCTTAAGGAGTCCATGAGAAACACTGTTGACATGTCCAATTCAGAGTTGGGTTGCTGTTAAGGTACCATAATGGCCTATAATGGAGAATCAAATGGAAAATACAATGGAAAATGAAATGGAAACTGCGGGAATATAGGGATTTAAGGTTCGATGGTTTTTCGGAAGTCCATCAAGAGCTTACCCTGAATCATACCCTAAGCCGTGGGCCTTACAGTGCTACAAGGGTTATAGTCTAAACTCCTAGTATCCCCTGTAGTGTAGTAGTCCTCTATGTAATCCCCTATATAACAGCCTTTAAAGAGTTTAGAGTAGTAGCTCACATCACAAACCCAAAGCCTTAAGCTTTTAAACTCAGAGCCCAAACCGTAAACCCTAAATAGTTTCCATATTATTTTCCACTATCCCAATACTACCCCTATATAACCCCAATATAACCTTAACATAACCCTATCATGATTCCCATCCACAGCAAGGAGCTGGAGGATGCAATTCGAGAAGACACCGCCCTGGCACCTTCCTTGGGGTAGTATTAAGGTTATATTGGGAATATATTTGGGATAATGGAAAAGAAAATGGAAGCTACAGGGATTATAGGGATTATATAGGATTCATATACGGATTATCGGGAATATATTGGGATGATATTGGGATAGTGGAAAATAAACTGGAAACCATTACAGTGGGTTATATAGGGTTTAGGGATTCAAGGATTTTAGGGTTTCTGGTGATGTGAGGGCTTTGGGGGTTTGGGTTTAGTTTCGGAGGTCTAGGCTTTTGTTGGTGGAGTTCGGTGTTTGTCGGATGTTTCCGGAGGTCAGCGCGCAGTTAGGCTTCATGCTGGGGTTCCGGGTCTTGGGTTGAGGTTTTAAAGTCATCACGGATAGTCTGACTGCATTTCTTCCCATGGGCTTCTGCAATCCCGTCATGGCATCTTCATATACTCTCAGCCCAAGACCCAAAACCCGAAAGAAGCTAATACTTGCTTCAGAACCCAAAGTGCACACCTATGTCAATAATCACAATAGGCCCCTTAAGAATTTTCCGGCTCATTCTCCATTATTGGTAATAAACAACTCCAGAGTCCTTATGTGCCGGTCAGCGCGGACTTGAGACATAACTATACCTGAAGTGCTGATTTGCATGGTCTACCGCATACGAATCCAAGATTGCTCAGAACCTTCATGCTTTGGGAAAAAAAGCAGGCCGCAACTGTTACAAATGCTCCTGTGAGACTATTGCAGTGTAGCAGTTCCTCTGGCTATGTCGTGAGATTCCTTCTCAATCCTGGTAGTTGTGGGAGTATATGGTGAGCCATACATGGAGGTGGTGTTTTAGAAGGTGTAGGCTGTCGGAATATAAGATTACCCTGGGAACAACAGAAGGCGCAACTTTGGCAAATGCCACTATGCGGATCCTTGCAATTCCTCTAGCTTTTGCGACATTCCCGTCAAGGTGTCGGTGATGCACATCAACAACGAGATTGGCACAATGCAGCCTGTTGAGGAGATCGGCAAGATCTGTGAAAAGAGGAAGGCAGGGTCTACTGCAGGGCGAGAGTGAACGTAGCTGTACATGGTTTCGACAATCAAGGGGCGTGCATGGGTAGCTCTTGGATCTAGACAAGGTTCCAGAAGACTATTCATAGCACGTTTGGTCGCTCAAAACCACAAATCTAAGAGTCAAAACCGAAGCCCCGAACTTAAACAGAGAAGTGTGTAGGGTGTTTAGGAGGGTCTCAAATCCTCAGCACACAAATCGCCTTGGACCAGGTGCTATTCCACACTGACGCCGCCCAAAGCGTGGGAAAGGTCAGCACGGTGTTACTTATTGTTAGTACAGAATGGAGGAATGGATCCATGTAGTAGCCGCTAGAAGACCCCCAATCACACAGTAGTTTCTTTTCTTTCTTCCATTCCTTCATTCCTTACTACCAAGCAGCAACATTGAGGGTTGTATGGCCTAGCGGAAGTTTCAGGGATTTAGGGTTTCGATGTCCACAGGTAGGCTTCAGGCTGGGTTTGCTTTGCACTGGATGATTTGTACATGTATGGGGTCCATCAAGGTATGCAACACTTGCGGTTCAAAATTTGAGCGCTTGAGCAGGCTGAGGCATCACAAGCAGGCTGCTGACTGAACGCAACCGTTGATACTTACGATGCTCGCTTGACACCGCGGAAACGCAGGCTTGCTGATGCTCATGATGTTTGGCTCCTTCGGGTGCACCGCAGAAACGCAGGCTTGCTGATG